AAAAAAAAAAAAAAAACCTTAGTAGTGGCCCTTAAGCTTTGCAGAGCATTGAAGCAGAGGATCGCTAGAGTGCCAGCTGCTGCGCGAGGACTTCTTGGGTTCTTAGGGTTTAGGGTGTGATGGAGGGATCGTACGTATGGTTTACGGTTTCGGGTTAGGGATCGTGAGTATGGTTTAGGGTTTAGGGTGAGGGATCGTAAGTCTGGTCTAGGGTTTAGGTTGAGGATTTCGGTTTACGGCCCTAGGGCTTTTAGGCTTTGGTGTTTAGGTTCTGTTGCTTTAGGGTTTTAGGGTTTTGAGGGTTTGCATTTTCGGGCCTAGGGTTCAGGGGGCCCATTGGTCATTGGTCGACAAACCTCAGCTCAAAGGAGGGGTTGCTGCGTTTTAAGGCAACTTCGGGCTTGGATTGGGGTGAAGGTAATGTAGCGGCCTAGATAATTACCTACACTGTTTTGGGGGTTCCTTATTAGAAGTATAGTAGAATATACCCCCAAAACCCTGTTAAAAGCATTAAGGCCCCTACATTAGAGCGTGCAGGGTGCTGCTGAATGGAACAAGGTTTAGGCTTTGCCGATCAGGATTTTGAGCTCAGGGTTGTTCCCGTTATAGGGGCCTTATAGAATGTCTATATAGCTTATGGAAGCCTTATAGAAGCCCTATATACCCTAAGCTCCCCACCTATAGTTTCCTTTAAATTAGGGTTTGGCTGTAAGTAGCCTACTTACGCGGGGTACTTCGTTGAAGCAGCGTTATTTCCCAAACCCAGCTGCGGTAGCAAGCGATTGCGTGGGGATCCTATTAAGTCTCGAAAGTATTATCTTAGTTCCCCAATACCCAACCTTGAAACTTTTTGGGTTCTTATAAGTTAATAGTTTTCTCAAAGTTTAACCTTTATTTCCCTTGCTCATGGGGGAAGTAAGTTAAGGTCCTGGTTCTTGAAGGACAGTGAGTTGTTTACCACGGGTCTATAACCCATGCACCCCAGACCCATTATCCACTAATTAAGGTACTTTCCCCGCGGTCCCTAAGAAATTACACAAAACCGTACCCTGCTCTAAACGGCTAAATCAATCCGGGATGGGTTAGTTACTCGTGCAAAAGGGAATCTATGAGACACCGCTTTCGACGGCAGCGAGGGGTTTTTGTTCCACAAACAGAGTGGTATGGGTTTCTTACGTTGGGCGGGTGCACAGCGAACTGTCGTGGTGGTCGTGACCGTCCTGGTCAAAGTCGCCGTCGTCAACGTGGTCGTCATGGTCTCTATAGTGCTCTCTCACTGTTGTATTCAGCGGCAATATAAGGGTTAGCGAAAGGGGAACAAGGAATTCTGGCGGACGATTCGTTGCTTTGAAGCCTCGACAGCTCGCCTAAACAAACTTCACCAGTCTAGTGCCGGGTCTGTGTTCGCCTCCCTTTCAACCTTACAAGCAAAGCCTCAGACCCCTAAACCCTGCATGGAGATCTCCGCTTTGTTACTCGGAAGACGAAAACAGGTTTCTGCAAACAGACCGTAAACCCGCAACCCATGAGCCATTAACACAGACTCTATAAACCTTACTTAAACCGCACTGGACTTAGGCCTCTATAAATACATGTGAGCATTCATATTATTCTTGTTCTTATTACTTACTACTAGTACTGTTACTGATATATAAAGGCTTATAAATCCTACCCAACAGTCAGTCTCGGGGCTCCGCGGTCACTATCAGATCCTTGGTCGAAGCTTGCTTTGCAGACTCTGAGTCTGAATTTTTCCGCTTTAAGGTTTGGGGGATCTAGGAGAACCCAACATAGAGCTCAGGCTTGGGGCTACATGGCCGAAGAAGCTATGCTAGGCCTTTTCTTGTGGTGCTATGAGTTTTTATGAACACAGAACCCTGTCAGACTTGACCTTCAGTCTCCGCTGTAGTTACCTTTTTGCTGGTTTTCTTGTCCATTAAAAGTGGCAATACAATGAAGACTACAAGCAGGGATCTGAGGGATGGTGTTTTGATGTGTTGTTCGAGTTTCAGTTCTATTCTTAAGGGTCAGGCATTAAGGCTGCACAGCCGAGCAGAATGACAAATCAATTAGAAGCTTGTGCAGCTTGATGAGTATGTTCGAAGAAAGCCTATTTTTCTGTTGTTCACTCTTGCGAAGGTCGACTAGTTCTGGCGATCTACAGGGTTCCAATCATCCATGTCTGGCAGACATTCATCTGAGCATCAGCTCATGATGTGGCATTTTCGTTCCTGACCCGGTCCTAACCTATAGAAAAACCCACTGGATGCTAGCGAGGCCTTTCGCCCCCTGAAGGTACGCAGCTATTCGCTGACAGGGCAAGGTCATAAGAGCGGGCAAGCCTCAATCAACCATCTTCAACGATCCTCGAGTTTGAACGCTCTAACTTGTAGCCTCCAAAGCCTGATTGTTAAAACTTCGGTATAGTGCTCGGCATTTGTTCGTCATGCCCTGCAGCTTTGCATCGAGTATAGCAGATCGTGTTTAAGGCAGCAGGTTCATGCCGCATTTTGTTTTTGGTGTTTTTTCCTTGCTGTCGCCGCATAGTGTCAGTAGAATCATGTCAATGCTGGCCATGCTAATGCTTGGGATGTTGAACAAATACAATTCGCGCTGCAATGATACAAACATAGAACAACTGTATACCAGATTGTTTCAAGACCTCCGGAGAGTCATATTCCCATATTTAATGAGATGCTGCGTTGGCCGTGATGGAACAAGATGAAAGTGTGCTTACAGTGCGTGTCGGCTTAGACAGCCTTCATTGAGCTTGCATCGCAAAAAAGGTCCGTCCTTAGCTACCGTGGGGTCCAAAATACCCAACGCGTGCACCAAAATGGCGCTTACACTCGTGACATGAATGTTACGCCTCGTTCATGCCCTTGGCCGATCCCAGAAGGACCGGGAGCTGGGTCTGGAAGCTCACACGCGACCCAACCCGCCCATCAACGAGGCCGGGCACAGCTCTAACGACGACTTTTCCTACTACTGCCAATACTACCACTTTGCTGCCGCAAGTGCTGCTACTACTATATACTACTACTACTACTACTACTACTACTACTACTACTACTCCTACTACTGCTCCTGTTGCCACTGTTACCACCACTACTTATTTTACTATTATTGTTGCTGCTGCTTCCTTTCTTTCTGCAGGACCTTGACCAACAATTACCACCGACCCCACCGACTTACGGCTTACCACGTTGATGGATGATGCTGGCTCTTATAACCGCCTTAATCTTAAGCCTTTACACCCTTACACCTGCAAGACAGGTCTTTTGGCAACGAAACCCCAAAACCTAGCACCCTCACACTATTGACACATGGATTCTGAAGGTCGTTGCCTTAGAAAGTCCTGCGCGTGGTGGAAGGCTGGGGCCGAATTTCCCGCGGTCGTCAGAGTCATTTTGGAGTTGGGGGTTTTGGGGCTCATTGCTCGGTCCGGGTTAGCTGGAACATGTGTAGTTAGTACAAGCGTAGAATAGTTTAGACAATCGGGTTCGGTTTTTCGGGTATAGGGTTTCGTCCTGCACTTGGCGTTTGGTCTCATGTCGTTGGACCACTTGTCCTCAATTGGGGTCTAACGACGGACTGTAATATGTACCTCCTTGTTCCAAAGGCTGAGGCTAGGGGACTTCGTGAAGGACAAGGAGGATCAAAGACATATTCTGCAGTCCAGCATTTTGGGGCACGCAGCATCGGAGGCTTCCGATTTGAGGCCATCCACTCTATAACAAGATTCAGCGACAACCAGAGGGCAATATCCGCCTAGCCAACAAGTGAATTTCGATCTGTTTGGGGTAGTGTAATTCTGTGTAATTAACGTTTAGGTTTCCACTGGAAGCTGGACAGCTAGGCTGGTCCAATCACGAAGTTTGCGCCAAGCAGGCAGTTGACACACTGCAGACTGTAATTTACAGCGGCTGGGTCTTGATGAACGTTCAGAGATCCTTCATGCGAGTATCCGGGGCCTGTAGTAGATTTTGTTGTTTGATCCCTGTGTTGATTGATCTCTGTATTCTCGTGGTGCGTGAGTAGTGCTTGATGGTTATAATGGTTAATGCACCCAGTTCTGTTTGTATGCTCACCCCGAACCCCCACGCTGCTGGTGAAGCCAACTCAAATGTCGGGATTACCCCATAGCTTGAAGCGAAGTAGCACACGACAATTTGTCGCACAACAGTGCCTGTGTATTGGAACTATGCGAGGCTTGTCGCTCGCTCCAGAGGGCAGAAAGATGGGTTTACCGAAACATGTGCCTCAAGATCCCTGCTTGGCCATTGGCCACTGGCTTGCCACAGGGAAAGACACAACAACTTTGCATTCCCCAGCGCTTGCTGCAACAGCCAAGCTCTGTGGACTGGACTAGATTGTTGCGCAACAGCAGGCTGTACATTGGAGTGATACAATACCCTGCGCCAACGACAGAAAGCGTAATGATAAGCACATATTAAAGTAGTGACGTCCATTGTGCACACATGGCAATATCACAACAGTTTGCGCCGAGACTTGGGCTACAACAGCAGTATTCCCCCTCCACTTCAGCTTGCCACACAACAGGAGACCGCACATGGGAATTCTACCGCAAACCAGGGCCCTGCCAAGTGGAAACCTTAAACCATAGTACTCCATAGTGGCTTTGCCGTGCAATCCTGCACATCATGGGGATTCCGCAGCAGCTGGCCCAGCTTCAATAATTACCTATCAAAGCAGCAACGGACAACCTAAAACAAAGGAAGTCCACCCAATTCCACCCTAACAGCAATTGCCGGCCTGGTCGTTCCAACGCCTGCGTATGAGGGTTGGGGCTTGCCGGTTTGCAGTTTCATACTGTGGATGTTAAGGGTTTGAAGTTGAATTCATCAGTGCTGCAGCCCCAACCATCCCCAACCAGAGACAAGACAAAACCTTCTGGCCCTACTCTAGAAACCGCTGAACACTGTAATCCCGATCCCTGACATCCCACGGCACATTGCAGAAACCATAAAGTTTCAGAACCTCTAACCCCATTCCAGAAACCCTAACCCTGAAACACCAGACCCCAGGCCCCAAACCCTGTGAGCCACAACCCCTGCAGTCTCTAGACCTTACCCATAGGCCCCATAGTAGTTCCTTTCTGGGTTCATAATTAGAGTCCTATAAGGTAATCCCAAAAAGGAACTACTATGGGGCCTTTGGGTAAGTCCGTAGGACCTACCCGCAGTACCGTAAGCCCCAATCAATCCATATTACCCAGTGTAAGTCCTAGAACCGTCCTAGCCCCAACACGGGCCCCCAGACGCTGTGTGTTTGAGTCCTACAGTCCTACGGTTTAAGCGCTTACTTAACATTCTGTATACTCAATATCTTATTCTTTAATTAACTTACATTTAATACACCACCAAAGCCTTTATGAACCCCAAAGGTAAGTAACCCAAACAACAACCTTAGACCCTGAAAAATGCCCACGTCATCCATCCTAGTCACACCAAGCCCTAAATTCTGGGGCAGTTCCCACCTATAACTGCGTGCCCAGACACTGAAGTTGCGCGCTGGGGCTTCGGTCTTCCTCCCGACCCTTCTAAATCCTAAACCCTAAACCCCTAAACTCTAAACCCCCAAACTCTATTTAAACCCCAAACCCTAAGCCCTAAACCTCTAAACCACCCTAAACCCTAAACCCCCCCCGAACCGACACCCTGATCTCTGCTGCGAGGTCTCCGTTCGCAGCTTGCGACTTCGTTCTCGAAGAGCCGGTCTGGGATCCCAAGAAGTTGGGGTTGTTGCGGTTTGGGGGTTTAGGGGTTTAGG